CAGGCACTGGGAGGTGGTGAAGTCCCCATCCCTGGAGAAGTTCAAGGAAAACTGGACATGGCACTCAGTGCCCTGGGCTGGTGACAAGGTCAGGATCAGCCACAGGTTGGACTTGGACATCTTTTCCAACCTCAGTGATTCTGGGACTCTGGGATTTTCAGCATGGACATGGGAAGGTTAATAACAGCTGGGAGAGTAGGTGGACACAGGTAGAGTTTGAGTCTGAGCAAGCCAACGTGCCCTGACTCAGCTTTGGTATTCACCTTCCTTTTTACCCTCTCCCACAGTAATGTTTTATATGCTGATCCTCTCCTTTTCCCATCTTTTCCAAGCTTTCTTCTATGCTTATATTTCCCAATACCAGTTCACACCATTCAGGACAGTGTCTTGAAATAAACCCTTTGCTTGAAAGAATTTTAAAATAAGCAGAGTTGGGTGAAAGGTTTTGCTCAAAGACATGAATTTCCGCAGTTTTATCCCTTTTGCTTTTTTTCTTCCTAAGAGACTCTTTTCAAAAGCCAACATGAAAAAAGTCTATATACATGAGGTTAATCACATGTTGTAAATGCACGCTAAATAAATGTCTAATTTGAGCTGTGTCTGTGCTGTCAGGGGACTGCACAGGCCATGACCTCCTGTATGTGGAAGATTCCCAGGAACCACATGGATTTATTTTATTTTTCAGATAACTCCACTCATAGCTGCTTCACTGCAGTATTTGTGCAATGCGTTGGAGATTGATGAGCACACCTGGAGCTGAAGCCAGTGAGCTGTTCAGGAGTCAGGCCCATTCCCATTAGTTCCTAGGCTCAATTTAGTGCACATGTAACCCTGGAACTCCATATTGTAATGCTTGATTGCTTTCCTACAAGGCCAGGGTTAAAATCAGAGAATCCCAGAATGCTTTGGGATGGAAGGGACCTCAAAGCTCATCCACTTGCATGGGCCTTCCACTATCCCAGGTTGCTCCAAGCCCTGTCCAGCCTGGCCTTGGACACTTCCAGGGATTCAGGGGCAGCCACAGCTTCTCTGGGTACTCTGTGCCAGGGCCTCAGCACCCTCACAGGGAGGAATCTTTTCCCAATATCCCATCTAACCCTGCCCTCTGGCAGTGGGCAGCCATTCCCCCTTGTCCTGTCCCTCCATGTCCTTGTCCAAAGTCCCTCTCCAGCTCTCTTGGAGCTCTTTAAGGCACTGGAATGGGGTCTGAGGTCACTCCCCTCTCTTTTCCAGGCCTTCTGAGCTTTTCTACTTTAGAACACAGCATTCAAAAGGAAAAGCAGTTCCCTAAATCCTCTCGATCCCTCCACAAAAGGCTCCATTCTTCCAGAGCTTTGGGACAGGAGCAGAGGAGAATTCCACCCACCCCTCTGGAATCAGCATCAGAACGGCAGCGCTGAGAATTTGCATGGAGCATCCAGCAGCTCCTGCTCGTGGAGCTGTGAATGTGTTCATTTTTTAGCTTCAACAAGGTCATTCCCACTGCTAAGCATAATCCTGACACATTAGCAGGAGTGCTGTCCAATTCATTCGCACTCCATTAAGCAGCACTGCCGAGAAGGTTTTCCTGCTCTCTCCGAGTTCTTTCCCCCCCAGTCACACACAGGGAATCATCTCTCAGGAGCTCAGGTGCCCGTGGGGGGAATACATCGAGTCCTGCAGCACCTGCTCCCCGGGGTGGGGGTGGAACCTGAGGCACTCTGGTGGGACTGGGGATCCCAGTGTGGTGACTGGGCTGTAAACTGGACGTCCCTTTCCCTGCAGGGCACGCGCAGTGACATCCCATGGCCTCCGTACCATTGCTCAGGGATTTTCCTCTGCTCTGCTTATTGAGCTTCAGAAAAGTCACCAGAGTTTCAAATGTCACCATTGTCGACTTTTCATCATTCCAGATGAAAGTGGCAGCTGATTTTTCCATTGCTCCCACCTGGGATTTCCATCAAAATCTCTCCAGGCCACTGTCTGCATTTCAGACTTCCTTCCTGGGATAACGCAGTGCTGGGGTTTTGACAGCAACCTTTCCACTGAGTTGGAAAGATCCTCTGTGGCTTTGTTTCACTGCTCTGATTTTGTGACAAAGCTCAGGGAGCTCCTGCCTCGTCCTGCTTGGATGGTTGTTAGTTCTGCATGAACTGGGCCAACTCGGGAGGGTGCACAAGGAAATATTCCCTGTCAATTAAACTGGAGAAAGTGTCAGCAGGAGAGGAGTGAAGCAGCCTCCTCTGAGAGCTCTCCCTGGGGAGAGCAGGTCCTTTCCTGTGTGGATTCCAGGAGCCACTTGTCCAGCCAGAAGTTCTCACAGCCAGAGACACAGACCAGTGTGCCAGGAGAAAAATTCCCTGTTTTGTCGAACTTTCTCCACTGGCTGTCCCCAATTCAGACCTTTTTCTAGACATCCTCTTTCTTTCCTTACAGCTTTTAGACCAGTACTCAGATCAGTGGCTTGGAGTGAAGTTCTGGTTTACTTCTGGTTCTTCATCCCACAGAGTTTGTGACTCTAAAAAAGAGCCTGAAGACTCCTCTATGCGTGTCTCTTCCCTCTGTCACACCTGGTTAGGTCACAGTTCATGGAATCATGGAATAATGTGCCGGAAGGGACCTCAAACATCACCTGGTCCAACCTCTCTTAGCAAAAGCAGTCTAGAAAAGATGACCCAGCTCTTTGTCCAGCTAAACCTTAAAAGTGTCCAAATTTGGGGAATCCACCACTTCCCTGGGGAGATTATTCCAATGGCTGATTGTTCTCACTGTGAAAAATTTCCTCTTGTGCCCCAAACTTTTATGGACGAGGTTTCCTCTGATCCTGCTGCCGTTCTGCGCTCCCCCTGAAGCCAGGGGATAGGGAACATGGTTTGGAAAAGTCTTGGAGCTGGAATTTCATCTTGCCTTGCTCTGCTGGAAGCAGGGTGCTGCTGGCCATGCTCTGGGCAGAGCTTGCCCAGCCCAGCCACTGCCACAAGGTGCCCACGGTGCTCCTGTCTTGGTCTGAACCCCCAGTTTAACTGAAGCCTCAGCAGAATAATGTGAGTCCATGGAAATCAATGGAGAAGAGCTGAAAACAATTGATTGGAATCAAAACACGCTGCAATCAAATTTGGAGGGACTGAACTAATGGATCATAAGGTGCCTGGTGAATGGGGCTGATTGAATTGAGCTGAAAGGTCCTGCATCTTCATTACAGCACCTGAAACCAGGACAGATGAGGAATTTTCTAACCATGTTTAGTGTCTTTTTTTTACTGCACTGATAACTGGATTGCAAACCCAGCATTTGGGAATTAACCCGTGTGTACAGTATTGGGAGGGGAAAAAATGGAATTTGGATAGGACAAGGGGCAGTGACTTCACACTGGCTAAAGACAAGTTTAGATGGGATACTGGAAAGAAAGTCTTGGCTGTGAGGATGGTGAGGCCGTGGCACAGGGTGCCCAGAGAAGCTGTGGCTGCTCTTGGATCCCTGGAAATATCCAAGGGCAGGTTGGACAAGGCTTGGAGCCACCTGGGACAGTGGAGGATGTCCCTGCCCATGGAAGAGGGTGGAACTGGATGAGCTTTTTCTCACCCACAGCATCCTAGAATTCTGGGATTTGCTGGTCACAGGCTGCTCCATGTCTGAGGACAGGCCAGGAACTGGATTTTGGAGCTCTCCTTGCTGCTGATTCCTTTATTTTGCCTCACTCAGCAGTCACAGTGTCAATTTTCCATTTCTCCTGCCTTGTTATGGCAGCATTTGGAGATGCAGAGGTGTTTCCTACCATGCATTCACTCCATGTGCTGGCCAAGGCCTGGTTATTCCTGCATGTTTTGCCAACACTGATTTGTAGCATCTCCTTATTCCACCAAATCCTGCAAATTCTTTGGAATTTTCATTATCCTAATGTAACTCTGCTCTCTGTCACAGGAACTGAAGGCATGAATAATTCATTAGTTTTCCTAAACCTTCATTTTTTTTGGTCAGACTGAAGTTCCCCTGTTACAAGGGATGATTTATTATTGCAGTGATTAAGGGACATTGTTGATATTTCTGAAAATTTCCTTTCGGAGCTGCAGGCTTGCCTGGAGTCAAAAGGCAGGAGAAACATGTGAATAACGGGGTGGGTAATGGAGCAGTTGCAATTTCCCATTAAGAAGAGGCTCCTATTTGTTCCATGCTCCCACGGATGGGTGGCGTGGATCTGGAGCCAGATTGTTTAACAGCACTTTTTCTGTTGGAGCTCTGATAGGGAAACAGGAAAAATGTGTTCCCAGGAACTCAGCACCTTGATCCATCTTGTGACTGACTGAAACGGATAGTCCTGGAGCTTGTTATTGTCTCCTGATTGGACTCACTGTAGCATCAGGACACAATGCCCAGATTTAAATCCCTTCCTACCTGCTCCAAGGAGAGGAAGGATCTGCCTATGCTGTCTTCCTTGACTATCCAGGGACTTCAACCACTCCATGGGCTTTTGTAGTCCCAGATGTTTCCTGAAGTAGTGAGATCTCCTCTCCTCTCCTCTCCTCTCCTCTCCTCTCCTCTCCTCTCCTCTCCTCTCCTCTCCTCTCCTCTC